TGGCATTGTAGGCAGTAGCTTAATCCATCAGGTGCTGTAGATCCTAACTTCTCAGTATGTCTCATTACTGCCTGCTTTTTCTCACTGACACTGATCGGGCTACTATGGTATGTCACATGGATTCTGCAGTAGCCTCAAACTTGGTGTCTTTGTCCTACTTAGGGCCAATCTCTACCCTGTAGCCATAATAATATTTCTTTAATGCAAATCTGAATTTGTCACTTCCTAAAACACTTTTAGTCTTGTTTAGTTGGATATATACCGTACTCAGAATCGTGCTTTTCGTATATCAGTATTATTTTTTTAATCAAAATTACTGAGAATGTGTCTTGGGGTTGCCATGTGGAGGGGAGGATCAATCCCCCTCTTCCAGAGTTGATCAGACACCAAGACTGATGGTGCCACATGTATACTGAGAGTGTTGGAGAAGATTTATTATTCATATGATGAGGCTTTCTGGGGAGAGTAGAGCAGGCACCCAAACTGGTCCAGAATGGGTTGTATGAACAGAAGAACAGGTGGCTCTGGTTTTTGTTGTGGTCAGGGGCTGGGCCAGCTTGAGGGTTCCCACATGCAGTCTGGGTTTGCATGATCCGAAATGGCTCTGATGGTGCCTAGGAAGGTCAACTTTATCTGACATGAACTTCTGCTTATAAAAGTACCATGTCCTTGTTGGAGAAAAGTCAAAAGAATGTAAAAAGCATAATCATATGGAAGATTGTAACAGTCCTTTGGTTTTTCACATTGCAGACGTTCAACATTAAAGATGCCATCATGTTGTACTTAGATAATCTTGTGTCTCCTGCTCTGTCCCACAGAGCATCTGTCTATACAGTGAGGTAGATTTCTGAGACATCATCTGTAATGATTTGTTGATAAGCGTCAGCTTGGGGCATAATGTAGGTGTTTTTCCCCTTTCTCTCACCTTTCCTCCCGTCTTAATTTGCTGTTTTCCTTCCTGTTCCAGTGCCCTTTCTTAGTAAAGTTTCTTTTGTAAAGTGCTGTCAGTAACTGCATCCCTTTTACATTCATTGGAATGGACTCATTCCCATTCTTTGAAGCGGGATTTTTTTCGTTTGGTTTTTTAAACATAAAGTGAAAGGTACAGAATACCACATCAACAAGCGTAGACTTTAGCAGTGGTGGTGCTGCTCCTTTTGCTGATGTGGTGCCTGTCCATAAGCCCTACCCTAGGCTTAGAATGCAAGCTTTTGTTGCTTTCATATATATATTTTTTTGCCATGGCCTTAATTGTCCATTTTGGCCCAGAACACACAACAATATCTTGTTTCACACGCACTCAGACACATAAGGGGACTTCTAAAAGTCTGTGGAAAAATAGATTTAAAAGATAAGTCTATTTCAGTGCAAGAAGATTTGGACATCCTTGCATAATTTTTTGTAATAAGGAATTTTTTGAAGAACCTCTGTAGATACACAAAACAGCGCAAGCGTTCTTCTAGAGGATATGGTTGATTCATAAAATTATGTAAGTCATAATACTGCAAAAAGTGAGAAAACAGGTACTATAAACAATAACAGCAAAGGAAAAAAAACACACAATTCTAAGAGACTTAATCTGTTTTGTTTTCCTTCCAACTTTTAAAATACATATTATAAATTTTTTATGGTAAAATGAATAAATTTGTACATGTTCTTTTAGAGACCTGCCTCTCTTTTCTTTTCACTTAACATCTATTTTTTTCAAGTGGAAGAAACATATTTTTCTTTTAAGATGAGATCTTGTGTTTGTACTAGTAATTCCCATTCAAACTAAGAAACCCAGAAGTTTTACTTAATTTTATTACATCTTTATCTCACACTTTTCCTAGGATGAGAATCTGTTTTCAACTAATGTCAGAATGGTAACTCATTTTATTTTATACAGTCATTTCAGAATAATAATAATTACATTATTACCATGCATAATAATCAAAAAACAGTTTGAACATTTTTGCCCCCCCTTGAAATAATTTGAGTATTACACCATTAATCTGATACATACTTAGATCTACTTATTTCATTCTGTTTTTGCCTGACAAGGATCACTGAAACATTGTTTTTCAGAATTTTAATTTTTTATTTTTACTTAAACATATGTATGGTGTACAATGCGATATTTCAATGCATGCATACAGTGTGTCATGATCAGATCAGAGTAATTGGTATATCCACCACTGCAAATATTTCCTATTTCTTTGTGATGGCAGCATTCAAAATCCTCTCTCCTAGATACTCTGACATACGGAATTAAGTACTGCCAGCCATGGTTACCCTCCTGTGCTGTAGGACGTTAGAAGCTGTTCTTCCTGTCTGTCTGCACCTTGGGCCTGTTAACCAGGCCCTTCTGTATTCCTGCCTTTTTCTAGCCTCTGATAACCAGTATCCTACCCTCTACTTGTATGGAGATTAACTTTTTAAGGGAAGCATTATTTTAAAATAAAAAGTGATTGGAAAAGACCCAGTATGTTTGCTCCCAGTTAGCATCTTTCCATGTCCATAAGATTATCTTTAGTATCTTTTTTAAGAACAACAGTATACCATTGTATTACTATACCATACTTTCTGTTTAGCCATTTTTCTGTTGTTGGGCATTAAATCGTTTCTGCCTTTTGCCATTCCTAACAATGCTGCAATGACCATTCTTAAACATTTTGTCCATTTGTCTCTTTCTTTTTCTTTTTCTTAAATTTTATTTATTTATTTAAAAGGCAGAGTTATAGAGAGGTAGAGGCAGACAGAGAGAGGTCTTCCATCATCTGGTCCACTCCCAGATGGCTGCAACAGCTGGAGCTGCACCAGTAATCTGAAGCCAGGAAGCCAGGAGCTTTTTCTAGCTCTCCTGCGTGGGTGCAGGGACCCAAGGACTTGGGCCATCTCTTACTATTTTCCCAGGCCATAGCAAAAAGCTGGATTGGAAGTGGAGCAGTCGGACTGGAACCAGCCCCATAAGGGATGCTGGCACTGCAGGCGGTGGCTTCACCTGATATGCTGCAGGGCCGGCCCCCTATTTGTCTGTTTCTAAGGGATAACTTAAGGAAAAATAATTCCATTTTTAAGGAATGCTTTACCTGAATTTTGATAACTTGGTATCTAAAAAGTGCGTGTGAATGTATTCCTCCTGGTATAGATTCTTCTCCTTTGTGATAAATCAACATTGTGGTAGCATGCTTTCCTATATCGTATTCCCTGGCCATTTATTTTGTGTTTGTGAATTGAAATTATACCTTTTGCCAGTTTTTTTCATGTTCATCTTTTGTTACCATCTTCACAAATTTTTTTTATTTTTAGAAAGACTACATGAACATACTTTTAAAAACTTGTGGAAAATGTAATTAAAAGATTGATTTATTTTGGCACAAAAATTTTGAAATAGGTGCATAGTTTTTTCTTTTCTTTTCTTTTCCTTCCTTCCTTCCTTCCTTCCTTCCTTCCTTCCTTCCTTCCTTCCTTCCTTCCTTCCTTCCTTTCTTTCTTTCTTTCTTTCTTTGACAGGCAGAGTGGACAGTGAGACAGAGAAAGAGGTCTTCCTTTTCCATTGGTTCACCCCACAATGGCCTCTGCAGCCAGCGCACCGTGCTGATCCGAAGCCAGGAGCCAGGTGCTTCCTCCTGGTCTCCCATGCGGGTGCAGGGCCCAAGTACCAGCCATCCTCCACTGCCTTCCTGGGCCACAGCAGAGAGCTGGACTGTTAGAGGAGCAACCAGGACAGAATCCGGCGCCCCTACTTAGACTAAAACCCGGTGTGCCAGCGCCACAGGCAGAGGATTAGCCTAGTGAGCCGTGGTGCCGGCTAGTTTTTTCATAATAGGAATTTCCACAAACTTTTTGCATACCCCTTGTGTATGCACGGATTAAGTTTTTGTTTGATTCTTTTGGCTTTAGAACAAGAGTGTTTGAAAGAAAGCACTTCTTTTTCTTACGTGAGATGAAAGTAAAGTTGAAAATAGAACACCATTGGGACTACTTGTGTCAGTTTAAATAGTCTAGTTCTTTCATAGAAAAAGAGCAAATTTAGTCAAACTGAGGATGGTAGGGTGCTAATGGTAGTTAGTAGGAGGTAAATTTGGCACAAGAAAGACATGAAATAGTTCCATCTTCAAAGGCTTATTTCAATATTTTATATAAATGGTCCAGTTCCTAAAAATGACAAAACACAGTGTTTCACACGAAATATGAGTACACTTTGAGTGATTCTTCACTATTTTTGATGGTTCATGATATCAGGAATTTGTTAAAAAATCAAGAACTCCAAGCTGGTGCTGTGGCGTAGTAGGTAAAGCCACAACCTGCAGTGCCAGCATCCCATATGGGCTCTCGTTCGAATCCCTGCTGCTTCCTTCTGATCCAGCTCTCTGCTATGGCCTGGGAAAGCAGGCCCAAGTCCTTGGGTCCCTGCACCCACGTAGGAGACCAAGAAGCTCCTGGCTCCTGGCTTCAGATCAGTGCAGCTCTGGCTGTTGTGGCCATCTGGGGAGTGAACCAGCAGATGGAAGATCGGTCAATCTATCTCTCTCTCTCTCTCTCTCTCTCTCTCTCTCTGCTTTTGCCTCTCTGTAACTCTGCCTTTCAAATAAATAAATCTTTAAAAAAAAATCAGGAACTCAGGAGCTATTTTGGCCAAGTACTTAGGCACTAGTTTGGTCATATATAATATAGTGATTGTGTGAGTAACAGACTCATAGAATTAATATTAATGATTAAATAAGTAAATTAATGTTTGTAAAATGCTTAAAGAATAACTTACACATTAGTACTGTGCATCTTTTATTTGAAAATAAGATCTATTACGGAGGAATAACTAGAGGGAAGATGATTAGGAGACGATGTTACAAATGGCTTAATTAAATAAACCAGTTGAACCTATATTTTTTAAATTAAAAAACAAACATTTAATAAATCTGAGGTATCTTGGGAAGATATTTCAAAACCAGCGGTTAAACTCATACACATCCTTGGAGCTAGGTTATATAACATGTTCCTTACTGCTTTGTTCACAGGATATTCTGAATAATCTTGAATCATGTGACCTTGAGGATGATGACCTTATGCTTGATGTGGATCTGCCTGAGGATGCACCTCTTGAAAATGGTGAGTTGGGCCATGGGCAGCCTGCAGTGGCATATGCTCGAGCTCCTTGACTTTAGCCAACTTGATGTTTATTAACTAACAGACTTCGTAATATCAAAGGAGCCTTTCAGATTGGTTTGAAAATCATGCAAAATAGGTTCATTTGCGAAGTAACCTAAATATTCAAAACCTCATTCTGTGGGTTTTGTATATAATTCTGTGTGGTTCAGTAACACTGTCTGCCTGTATATTAAAGTAAGTGGGAGATTGGATTTTTTCCCCCGCTATATATACATATTCAGTTTTCCTTATTTATGTCTCATTTTCATTTTTTTAAAAAGATTTATTTTTTTTTACTTGAGAGAGTCAGAGTTACACATAGAGAGGAGAGGCAGAGAGAAAGAGAGGTCTTCCATCCGCTGGTTCACTCCCCAATTGGCTGCAACGGCCGGAACTACACCAGTCTGAAGCCAGGAGCCAGGAGCTTCTTCCAGGTCTCCCACACAGGTGCAGGGGCCCAAGGACTTGGGCCGTCTTCTGCTGCTTTCCCAGGCCACAGCAGAGAGCTGGATCGGAAGTGGAGCAGCCGGGACTCGAACCGATGCCCATATGGGATGCCAGCGCTTCAGGCCTGAGCATTAACTCGCTGCACCACAGTGCCGGCCTCTCTTTTTCATTTTAAGAAGAAATATATTTTGAGAAACATATCATTTGACTTATATAATAGTATATTAATTTTATAAGTATCTTTAAAAGATCGGTTCTTGGAAAGTGGTGGTTGAATCCTGGCTGTCAGTTGCAGAGCTGTGCTCTCAACGTCTGTGCTGCCTCTGCCCACGCAGACCTTTTTTACTCCCAGTTTCATTTTCCTTTTTTACTCCAGTTCCCATCTGTCTTCCATCTGAATCTCAGTAGTGACTGAAGTAGAGCTTTAGATAATCCATATGCAAGTGGGGGATTTGGGTTCTCTTGCTCCAGTGACATAATATTTGTAGGGCTTTCTTTCATAAGGGCTGGTAGAGAACTGGAGGTCAGCATGGGAACCCCTGGAGCAAGGGCTGAAATGGGAATCCTCATAGGGAGAGAAGTGACTTCAGAGATCTGAGGATTCCCTGTCAGTCAACATTTATCTATTTTCCCAGGCTTCCCTTGGGTCAGGGGTAAACTACAAAGGGTAAATAGCATCCTTTCTAGCCATGGTGTTGAAAAAATGCAAGGATATTTCCAAGAAGGGCAATATATTTTTTTTTCTTACTGGCTGGAATGCTACATAGCAGTTGATCTACAAAATAAATTAGTTGGGATGGCTTAGGCTTTCAGTCTGGGCCTCAGCACTGAGACTCTGAATGACCGTACTTACCCTTAGATTTTTTGGTTGAGAGGAGGGTAGGAGTGTTACAAGGACTGGCAGAGGTTTAAGGAGTCTTATGATTCACGAGAGTGCTTAAAAACATTTGTGAAATATGCATTATATATATTTTAAGATTTATTTATTTATTTGAAAGAGTGGCAGGGAGAGGGAGGGAGGGGAAAGAGAGAGAGGGAGAACAAGTGAGAAAGATCACACTTCCATCCGTTGGTTCACTCCTGAAATGGCTCCAACAGCCGACACTGGACCAGGACACAGTTAGGAGCCTGAAACTCAGTCTGGGTCTCCCATGTGGTGGCAGAGACCATCCTCTGCTACTTTCCCAGTCGTATCGTTAGGAAGCTGGATCAGAAGTGAGTAACTGGTTCTTGAGCCAGCTCTCCAGTATGGGATGTGGATATCCCAAGTCACAGCTGAATCCCTCTGCCAAACCCATTATTTTTTTTAAAAAAGATTTATTTATTTTTTAGAGACGGGAAATTTACATTATCTTTTAATTTCTTTTTTTTAATTTTTTTAATTTTTTATTTTTTTTGACAGGCAGAGTGGACAGTGAGAGAGAGAGAGACAGAAAGGTCTTCCTTTTCCATTGGTTCACCCTCCAATGGCCGCCGCGGCCGGCGTGCTGTGGCAGGCGCACCGCGCTGATCCAAAGCCAGAAGCCAGGTGCTTCTCCTGGTCTCCCATGGGGTGCAGGGCCCAAGGACCTGGGCCATCCTCCACTGCATTCCTGGGCCATAGCATAGAGCTGGCCTGGAAGAGGGGCAACCAGGGTAGAATCCGGTGCCCCGATCAGGACTAGAACCTGGTGTGCCGGCGCCGCAGGACGAGGATTAGCCTATTGAGCCATTGTGCTGGCCTATCTTTTAATTTCATATGTTGATTTTAGTCCCTTATAAAAGGCTTCTGGTCTTTGAGGATATTTTGCAAGTGAGAGAGGTTTAGATTGGTTACTCCGAATGTATTGTGTCAGCCCTATTAGGAATCATTGAGATCTTTGGTTTTGGGTTTGATTTGGGTACAAGTTTGCTATAAACTAATTGTGAATAGGGGAATCTGGAGTACTTAAGGAAGAAGCCTTGAGAATATTTATCTGGCAATTGAATTTGTACAGAAAATATTTTTCTTTTAAGGTAGCATATGTGGTAGCACAGTGAAGGAAAGAATATTTGTTGGCTAAATATTTCTTGGACAGTTAGGCGTTAGGATTTGGGGAATATCAGAGTTATTGGGGAAAGCCATACCTGAGTGTTTTGGTGACCCTGAGGAGTAGGCTAGGTAACAGTAGTAGGGTATGAGGTTGGTAATATAGTACATGTATCCATCAAACATTTGTAAGGTTGTTCTTCCGTATTTAGAGAAATTGATCTTTTTTTTTTTTTTTTTTTTTTTTTTTTTTTGACAGGCAGAGTGGATAATGTGAGAGAGAGAGACAGAGAGAAAGGTCTTCCTTTTGCCGTTGGTTCACCCTCCAATGGCCGCTGCGGCCAGCGCATTGCGCTGATCCGAAGCCAGGAGCCAGGTGCTTCTCCTGGTCTCCCATGGGGTGCAGGGCCCAAGCACTTGGGCCATCCTCCACTGCACTCCCGGGCCACAGCAGAGAGCTGGCCTGGAAGAGGGGCAACCAGGACAGAATCTGGCGCCCTGACCGGGACTAGAACCCGCTGTGCCGGCACCGCATTGAGCCACAGCACCGGCCAAGAAATTGATCTTTGAGTTTATAGATAAAATAGGAAATTGAGAATTTGATTTCCCCCAAGAACACTTTCATTAGTCACCTACTTTATTTTATTTTATTTTTTCTTCAGTTGCTTATCTGATGCAGGTTTTCCAGTGTCTTTGGAAAACAAAGTGTATTACAGAGACCCACATCTCCACTATTTATTTGTCTGGGTGGAGACATCTTGTTGTTTTGTGTGAATGCCTTTATTCTATTCTGAGCCTTACTCTGCACTTTTTTTCTAAGACTTTTCAGGGGTTCAGGCAAGTCTGGTGGTCCAGCTGTTTTCCAATTTCTTTCTTAAAGTAGGAGAAAATGAGGAAAATGCGGCTCCTGCCTTTCAGAATCTTCTCCTGGGTGCTGTTCACAGTTGTCCGTCTGTCTGCGATGCTGCAGTGGATGTAGCCTTTCTTTTCTGGGCTCAAGACTTTGTTGACAGCCCCTGAAAATCCTTTCTGACCACTCTGAGCTCTTACATTACCTTCAGATCCTTCACACTTTGCTTTTTCAAACTTTTTATTTTTTTTAATCTGGAATTCACTGATGTGTGAGTGAGTTGATGCAGATCTGGGAGCACTCTGTTATCTACTCCTGAAACTTCTAAATCCCTCTGCAGAGTGCTTCCAATCATGTTTTAGGCTGTGGAAAGTATTACAGCACATATAGTAAGACAAGATTTTAAAATCAACCTGTAATAAGGAATATTGCACTTTGGAGTTGTCTGGCCAGCTTTAGGGGAAGGATAACAGACCAGAGGGAGAGATAGCCTAGAGGGAGCATACAATAAGGGAAGAGGAATTATAGGAGAAGGAACTTTAGGTTTGAATTGTGATTTGGCAGGATCTTAAAGAGATACTGTTTTGATTTTTTAAAAAAGACTTATTTATTTGAAAGAGTTATAGAGAGAGGGAAAGACAGATAGAAAGAGATTTTTCCATTCACTGATTCACTACCCATGTAGGAGCCAAGAGCTTCTTCCAGGTTTCCCACATTGGTAGCAGGGGCCCGAGCACTTGAGCCGCCCTCTATTGGTTTCCCCATACCATTTAGCAGGGCACTGGATCAAAGTGGGCATCTGGGGCACAAACTGTGACCCATGTGGGATGCTGGCATCACAGGCGGGGCTTTATCTGCTATGCCACAATGCCGGCCCCACTGTTGTAATTTTTTAAAGTATATTTTTCTTTTGTCTTCTCCAAGGACTTTTAAGGAAGTTATTTTGAAATCTGAACTTCTCTGGGGAGACCCATAGGTGTTTGAGATTTGCTCCATTTTTGTTCTAAGGTGTCTCTCTCATGAATAATTGTTATGTCAGAAGCACAGGTGTGTTGCCTTATTCTCTTGCTGTGGAACTTCTAGTGGCCACTCATTGTTGATGTTTGAAGCCTGGCATTTAGCATATGCTGGATAATTCTCAGGGTCCTGACTTTCCATGGCGTGCACCTTCTTAGATTTGCTGTTAAATCCTTTAGCCATTTGGTTTGAACTTTCTTTTGTTGAAAAATAGTCTTTCTAATTATTGCATGCCATAAGGCCACATTTTTCTAAACGTTTTGTTAAGATATATGAGGACAGTAATGTCCTTGACCACTTCTGACTACTGAATTTTCTTCTAGAGATTAATCTTTGTATCTCAATTGTATTCAATAATTGTATTCAATAATAACATTTAACCCTTTTTTTTTTTTTTTAAAAAAAGAGCTTTGCTTCTTTTAAACTACATTGTAATCAAAAGCTTTCTTTGCCAGATGGTGAAGCTTCCTGCAAAGTTGTGCTGGGGCTTTGTGATCTGGGCTTTCTCCCTGCTGTCTTGTAGGCAGTGGCTAGTCACAGACGGACTGCCTGTGGCACCCTTCACCTTTTGAGGACTCTGAGTATTATAAGAGAAACAATCTGGGTGGCTTTTGGTACAGTATTCCATCCCCTTATCTAATCAGAAAAGACTGGTATGATGAGAGTTAGACAAAGGCGTCCTTACATCACAGACCCCTCAGTTAGTCACAGAGTCCTGACACTGGTAAAAGAGCTACTCAGATCTGCTGCCTTTTAATTTTGGAGTAAAAGACCCTAAATTTATTCTCTAAAAGGGAATCCTCAGCTCATAGTTAGGGCCAAATTTATTTGATCAGCACATGAGCTTAAAATTGTTTGTACTGGGATGCATTCAGATTCGCTTTTCCACAGAAACCACCACCGTACTCTGTGTAGGGTGTTACCTCTTCAGAGGGACCTGTTTTCTTTCTTTCTTTCTTTCTTTCTTTCTTTCTTTCTTTCTTTCTTTCTTTGGACAGGCAGAGTTAGGCAGTGAGAGAGAGAGAGAGAAAGGTCTTCCTTCCATTGGTTCACCCCCCAAATGGCCGCCATGGCCGGCATGCTGCGCCGATCCGAAGCCAGGAGCCAGGTGCTTCTCCTGGTCTCCCATGCGGGTGCAGGGCCCAAGGACTTGGGCCATCCTCCACTGCCTTCCCCGGGCCACAGCAGAGAGCTGGCCTGGAAGAGGAGCAACCGGGACAGAATCTGGTGCCCCAATCAGGACTAGAACCCGGGATGCCGGTGCTGCAGGTGGAGGATTAGCCTAGTGAGCTGTGGCGCCGGCCTAACCTGTTTTCTTTCTTAGTCTTATTGTCCTGTTCTTCCTAGACCAGACTCTGGAAATGTGGGTGTGTGTTTATTTGTATTATTTGCTTGAATGGCAGATACGCACACACACACACACACACAGGGAGAGAAATACTCGTTCACCTGTGAGACAGACACGTGCATGAGAGAAAAAGAAAGAGTGAGTAAGCACTAGCTCCTCCATTTGCTGGTTTACTCCCCAAATGCCCACACCAACTAGTGCTGGGCCTGGCCAAAGCCAAGAGCCAGTAACTCAGTCCAAGTCTCCTGTAAGGTGGCAGGAACCAAACCACTTGAACCATCACCTGCTGCCTTCCCAGGATGCACAATAGCAAGAAATGGGAATCAGGAGTGGACCTGGGACTTGAACCAGGCACTCTGAAATGGGATGCAGATGTCCCAGGTGGCACCTAACCACTGTGTTAAATTTCTCATGTTGGAAACTAGTTTTGATTTGTCTCCAGCTTATAATTTGTTTGCTTTCCATTTTCTTTACAATATTATTTCTTTCATTGTGTTCATTAGTTCTTTTCAAAGAAACTGCTGAGGTTAGTTCGCATAATCTTCTTAAGGACATTTTACAGTGTGTAAACATTAGGTGAGAGTCTGCAGGGCTACTTCCTGCTGCAATATGGAAACAGTCATTTCTTTTATAATTTAAGCTACTGTGTTTCAATTTTAGTGTTAATCTTTTGCAGTCATGACAAATGTTTGTTTTCAATGCTTGTTTGCTATTATACCCATAGTTGAGTTCAAGTTTCAATAAAGATCCCTCAGTTTTGGAATCTGCATGCGGTAGCAACAAATTTTAACAAACATAAGAGTGATTACATCAGTTTCTGCATTATAATTACCCACAATGTTTAACCCATGTCCTGGCTGTTTGCCTGGTTTACTTGCTTCTTACTACTCTGTATGCACTGGATCCCTTCTTAAGAGCATACCAGGTGATTCTTAGGACAAAATTTCTTGCTTTGGGCATGAGTAGAATTCCTCCTGCCTGACTTAAGGAAACATAAATTCAGAACATTTGTAAGTAGATGTATACTGCCACTTAGCTATGTAGTTTAAGCAAAGTAACATTAATGCTATGTAGAAAAACTTGTGGGAATTAACTGAATCCATGAATGTAAATAAATGTGAATTTACAAATAGTACTGCCAAATGGACTAAACTCAGAGCAGCTTTAAATCTTCTTAAGATTATGTAAGAAAAATTTCTTGGTGTTGTGGCACAACAGGTTAGCTGCCATTAGGACTCCAACATCCCGAGTCAGAGTGCTGGTTCCAGTCCTGGCTGCTCTAAATCTGATCTAGCTTGCTGCTAGTGTGCCTGGGAAGGCAGTGGATGCTGGCTGAAGTGCATGGGCCCCTGCCATGCATGTGGGAGACCTGGGTAGAATTCTTGGCTTTGGACTTCAGCCTGGCCCAGCCCTGGCACTTTTGGCCATTTGGAGAGTGAGCTAGTGAACGGAAGCTCTGTCACCTGCCTTTCAAATAAATAAATCATAAAAGATTATTTTTCTTGGGGCTGGTGCTATGGCATAGTGGATGAAGCTGCTGTGTGCAGTGCCAGCATCCCATATGGGCGCTGGTTCGAGTCCCAGCTGCTTCACTTCTGATCCAGCTCTCTGCTATGGCCTGGGCAAGCAGTAGAAGATGGCCCAAGTGCTTGGACCCCTGTACTCACATGGAAGACCCTGAAGAAGCTCCAGGCTCCTGGCTTTGGATTGGCACAGCTCCAACTATTGCGGCTGTTTGGGGAGTGAACCTGCAAATCGAAGACCTGTCTCTGTCGCTGTCTCTGTCTCTCTCTTTTTCTCTCTCTCTTCCTCTGCCTCTTTGTTATTTTGCCTTTCAAATAAATCTCTAAAAAAAGAGATCATTTTTCTTTGCAACTGAATATTCTCTAGTTTTTAAAAAATATAATGGTCACCATGCTTTTTATTGTTAGGTTTTCTGCACATGAACTTAAGAAATTGTTGATTGTTCTCAGATTTTAGACAAGAAATTGTCTGAAATAATTTCAAATGCAAGGTTTCCTTCAAAATGTTTCTTAAAAATAACAGCAAAATTTGTATTCCCCTCCATGGACTTCTTTCTGTAAGAAGAATAAAAATTTCAGTGTCCTTTCAAAAACCTACTTAAATTGTTACACATTTAGAGGAAATAGATTAAAATTAGTTCAGTGCATTTGAAAATTGAGCATCATTTTATTTTTAAGTATCTTTTTTAAGTATTCTTTTCTTGAATGGGAACTTCGTGTTCACCTGTATACTGTAATGAATCAAGTGGCATATTCCAAATTCAAGTTTTTGGATAAGTAGAAGTCATTTGAATAAGTAAATTAAAAAAACTTGGGAATTATGGATTTCTGAGGCTTTTTATCACAAGGAATTCTGAACACGCAGGACTTGAGCTTTCTCGTGTACTAGTTCTCAGACTGGAGAAGCTGTCCCTGCTCCGGGCTTGGTTAGCGTTCAGCTGTATTTTTAGCAACAGTCCTAACTCGGTAGCTATGTAAGCACTGAGCGAAGATGGAGTCACAGGGCAAACTGGGCTTGCTTCCCACAGGGAGGGCTGGGAGTTGAGCAGGAAGGAAGGCCTGTTCCGCTGAGCCTTCTATGCAACTATGTCTGAGTAGGCAGCCGGTAACACAATGTCGCCCTTGTACAAAGTAACTCTCTTAGTGAGTGCCCAGATATGTGAGGAGAAAGAGTTTGGGTAAGTGAAGGAAAAGCGTGGGGTGTCTCAAAGAGATTCTTCTTGCATTTTTGTGGTGTTTGGATTTCAGGGAGTGCGCTGTTTGTTGCTGCAAAGTACTGGCTTTGTTTTCAGTGGCATTTTAGACTTTTCGAACAAGCTCTACCGCAGGCAGGCTGTAGCGTCTTGCTGCCTGAAAATGTGAGCTTGGTTTAGCAGAGAAGGTGATTTGTTTGTGATGGAAAGTTAATTTGTGCTTCTTGGGATCAGTGAAAAGTAATTGTGGCATTCATTTTAGGAATGAGTTCTCTACGAAAAATCTCTGTTAGCATTTTCCTGCTGAAATCAGAACCATCTTTTGGTAGTGGTAAAACTTGCTTAAAATTGATTGCTGGTGTTTGAAATACATAACGATGATTCCAAGGATGATTTGCTTGTTTTAAAGCAGTGTGCCAGTTAATTGTTTACGTGACTGTGATACACAGTATTATGATTTGCTTCAGTTTAAATAATGTAAAATTTCATTTTCACCAGAAGAACTGATTCTTTTTCTTCTGGAAATCTTGGTTTTATGATGAACTGGCATAGATGGCTCGTATTTTTAGAATGTTACTTTTCTATTTTATAGTTTCAGCAGCATTTAGTTGTATCAAGAGATACATAGTTAACTTTTACAGAGTGTGTACATGTTTATAGTCTTTTTGCTTTTGAATCTGTCTAGTGGAGTGTGACAATATGAACCGTTTTGACCGATCAGACAGAAATGTTCGGCAGTCTCAGGAAGGATTTTGGAAAAGGCCACCCCAGCGGTGGAGTGGACAGGAACACTACCATCTCAGCCACCCTGACCACTATCATCACCATGGAAAAAGTGACTTGAGCAGGTGAGTGCAATTGCAGCTTGGATTTCATTTTCTATCTTCTTGTTAACTTTGAGTCATCATTCTCCCCCTGAACAGACTTCTGGTTTTTAGAGGAACCAAAAAATGATTTCAAGTTACACATGATATAAGTTGGACTAACATCTAGTTCTTTTTGGCCCAAATCTTTTTTCATTAGCTTTATCATAAATATAAGTATTTATATCTCATATTTGAACTTTTAACTTGTAGTGTGCTTTACTAGTGTTCGTTTGGGAATGAGCGGGTGTTGACTTTGTTATGGTTTATGTATTTTTTTAGTTTTCTTTTATTTATTTGAAAGAGTTATGGAGAGAGGTAGATACAGAGAGAGAGAGAGAGAGAGAGAGGTCTTCCATTCACTGGTTCACTCCCTAAATGGCTGTAACGACCAGAGCTGAGCCAATCTGAAGCCACAAGCCAGAAGTTTCTTCCAGGTCTCCCACATGCATGCAGGGGCCCAAGTCCTTCGGCCATCCTCCGCTGCTTTAAAATATCATTAGAAAGAGAATAAGGTATTATACAATGCCAGAAGTCTTTTCTGTTTTGAAGTGTAACATAGTTTCTAATTTGATCTGATTTTATTTGTTAACAGGGCTCTATAGTCATTCAAACCTGGGAGCAAAGCCTGACCTGGCACAGAGCTGCTTTGCAAGCTTAGTTGATTTGTCTAACCCACCCCTGCTTGAGTTTACTGTGTGTAAATTATAGTTAATTAACACCTCTCTCTCTCGATGTTCAAGGATCAGGCATAAAAGTGCTGGAGCAGTGTCTGGTTTACTTACAGTGGACACCCAATGGCAGTTATTTTTATTTTTTCTTTTTCCCTCCCTCATCTCATTCACAAGAGATTTTGAGGTCATTTTGGAGCACATTTATAGATAAGCAATAAAATTGGGATAAAGAAATATTGAATGGAAATCATATGGTCCTGAATAGTTCCTAAACTGGGAAAGAAAATTATATCTAAGATTCTTTACAGCAAAGGCAAAGAACATAGCTATATTACAAGATGTACAGTATACATAAAATAAAGGATATGCTTCTCGTGAATTTGTTTGCTTTTGTGAGAGCAAAACCTGACAGGTTGCTTACATGAAGTAATTGGTTTTATTAAAAGGATTTTATTCATTTATTTATTTGAAAGGCAGAGTTACAGAGAGGCAGAGGTAGAATGAGGGGGAGAGTCTTCCATCCAGTGGTTCACTCCCCAAATGGCTGTGATGGCCAGAGCTGGGCCGATCCAAAGCCAAGAGCTAGGAGCTTTTTCTGGGTCTTCTATGTGGGTGCTGGGGCTCAAGGTCTTGGACCAGTCTTCTACTGTTTTGCCAGGCCGTAGCAGAGAGCTGGATCGGAAGTAGAGCAGCTGGAACTCTAACTTGAGTCCATAAGGGATGCTGGCACTGCAAGCAGCTGTTTTACAACTAAGCTGCAGCACTGGCCCCTACGTGAGTTCTTAGAAAGAGAATACCTTGTGATACGATGAGCAGGTCCCAGACAGCTTCCCAAGGTAGAAATAATGATAAACTTCTTAAGGCTATTTCTTTCTTTCTTTCTTTTTTTTTTATGATTTTTTAAATTATTTATTTGAGAGGGAGAGACAGAGAGAGAGGTCTTCCGTCTGTTGGTTTACTCCCCAAATGGCTGCAACAGCCAGAGCTGCGCCGATCTGAAACCAGGAGCCAGGTGCTTCTTCCTGGTCTCCCATGCAGGTGCAGGGGCCCAAACACTTGGGTCACCTTCTACTGCTTTCTCAGGGCATAGCAGAGAGCTGGATTGGAAGAGGAGTAGCCAGAACTAGAACCAGCATCCATGTGGGATGCCGTCACTGCGGGTGGAGGATTAACCTACTGTGCCATGGCACCAGCCCCTTAAGTCTGTTTCTTACCTATGCTCTTCAATGCAAACTGCAAAGACCTGTAGTCCAAGTGAGGAAAGACAGCTCTTAAGTGGATCAAGGAACAGTGAGGTCTAACCAGAAGTGCTTCTGCAGGTATTATTATTCAAGGCAAGAATATAGTTGAGAAGATCTAAGAGACTGGATACAGTAGACATCAGACCAGGCATTATGTTGACTGTTCTGTTTCTCGCATCTGGGCTTTTGGTAAGAAATAGACCTCAAGGAGTTGGTATTCACAGGCAAAGTCTGATGAAAAGGTAGTCTTCATTGCTAATATTGTGGATTATGCTTCTTTAATTTTTGATAGTTTATAAGAAGGTAAATTTAAGACCAATTTATGCAACTTTAATAGCCTGACTAAACGTGAATGATTCCTTGTTCTTAAGATTTATTCATCTGCTTAACAAATACTCATTTGCTATCTAACCTGTATGTTGGACTCTGTGCTAATAAGTTCTCAAGCTGGGGTGAGTGATGAAAGCTGTGGCTTGGTAATGCCTGGCAGCACTGTGTTGAAGATGAAAAAAAGATTTCTGTAGTGAGTGAACTCAGTAGGAATCTTAGCACTTACTTGTTAGGATGAGATTTGTGTGCCTAGACGAAAGTGGTTGGTATGAACGTCCTGCTGCCGGGAGCCATGAGAGGCAGACAGGCAGACAGTTACGGACAGGCAGACAGTTACGGGGACTCCTGGAGCATGAAGGAGCTGGTTTTTGTCTAGGATAGTGGAGTGTAAAAGAAGTTACCATTGAGCTGAATCTCAAAATACGACTGCAGAAATTGCAGAGGTCTGATTCCAGTAGGAGAAGGACGGGATTGGGATGCCAGATGGAAAAATGGAGTGCGCAAAAGTATGTATGCAGGGGTATGGCGTTTTCAGAGAACTGCTCCTAAGTTCATGGTGATTTGGAGGAATGAGTAGGTGTGCTCTCGAACTCTAGATAGCAAAACTACAGCATGTGTACTTTAAGATAAATGGTGGTACATTTCAGTTGAGAATGAGGCAATTAATCAAATTGTCCAAAACGGAATGAGATACCTGGAAGTAGTCATCTCATCTCTGTCCTTGGGCATGATCAAGGCTGAATATAGTCATCTGGCAAAAAAGTTTAGCAGTTTTTTCTGAAAACTTCTGTCTTACACTGTCAACAGGTAGAGAAAGTGGAGGTTGTCTCTGGTCAAATGTGTATGAGAATGAGCAAATTCAAGTTAAAATTTTAAAACAGTAGACTCTGTTGTGCCTTTAATGTATAAATGTAGTACCACAGTTTTACAAAAGCCATAAAAGGTATTTACCAAAATATGACAGATCTCTTGGCTGTAATATATTTTAGATGACTTAAGATTTGTGGATCACCAACACTGGTAATTTCTTAATTAGAAGAGAGAGATGCACAACATTCTTCGAATTTGCTGATCTGATTTAGCACAGTTTCCCCAAAAGACGACTGAGGCATACTGGTTTCTTGTGAGGGGTTATTGGTTGGTCAGTGTTTTGATCACCTGGAGCTTTGGGTTGGTTGTGCTAGGTTTTCTAGGTGTCCCAGAGCCATTTATGGAGATGGGGGCGGGGGGACAAAAAGAAACCTCCTCCAAAATAAGTCTACCCCTGCAGATATTCAAACAGTTGCTTTTCTCTTTACTCCTTGACAGGGAAAGATCTGGATGTCCTAACTCCAGAGCCTTCATATTATAGTTAATTAAAGGATTAGGTCTTACCCATAACTCATGGGAGTTGGGAAATGCTGGTCTGGATTCTCTTTCATTCTCATCATATACTGTTTTCTCTCTCTTCACGTGGCTTAGTCTTCCGCTCCTCTTATCTCCCCAGACTTCCCTTCTTTCTATTCCTTCTACTGTGCCATTGGAATTCTCTCATATCCTAACAAATTTACATCTTTGACCTCTTTGCCTATGTTCTGATTGTACTAAAATGTAGCTCTTTCCTAAATGGACTACTTCTGCAGTGGAAATGACATGGAAATTCTAGTGTCAGTACCCAATTGAGTTGTTGTCCCATGCTGAGGAAGAATGAAGGAGGCAGACAGGAAAGAGAGAGGCAGAAAAGCCGGGGTAAATGGGCAGCCTTTTTGATTGGCTGACTAAGATGTCAATCCTGAAAGTTATCAGCCAATCATCAAACTGGTTAGCCCGTCCTCCCTCTCTCCCTCTCTCCCTCTCTCCCTCCCTCCCTCCCTCTCTGTCAATAAGGAGGCTTAGGCAAGTAAGCTAGAAGGACAGACTTTTTTTTTTTTTTACACTTCTGCCTGCACCATTGCAAGCAGCATCCTGTAACTTTCTGAGAACTGAGCTCTTGTGGGTACCCAGCATTGTTGATGAGAGACAACCTCCACACCGGGCTCATACCCTGCCTATCTAACTGCAAACTTTCTATCTCCTCTCTTAGCATTCTCACCTTACTACTCTACTGTTTAGAGGTGCAATCTTTATCCTCAAACCTCTCTGTCACTCCAAATGGAATATTCGTAAATCCCTTTCCCTTAAGATGTAGAGCCTTTGGCTGTCTCAGCTCCTCCTTGCTGTTCTCTGCCAGTAGCTCCCAGCTATCTTGGCCCTTGGCTCTCTCTCCATCTTGGAATGAGATTTGCTGCATACCCAAGAAATGGGAGTCTAAGTGTATGCATGGTTGGGGCTGCCAAGGTGTGCCGCTGAGATGCCAAGTCAAAAACGAGAGAGCAGGTGGTCACTGCTAGAAAGAGAAAGAAGCATAGTTGTTCCACATTTGCGGTCTTCCCATAGTATTTTGTTTGTATTCTGGTTCCTATGGAGGAAAGTTAATTCAGTCTGTAGGTAAAAGTGCATAGAAAGAGGGTGAGGTGGAGGGAGTAGGTGCAGGGGATTATTGTTTGATGGCTGTGTAAGGTTACTGCACTACCCAGTGCAAACAGTCACTGGCTGAGGTGAGTGAAGTCGAAGACTTTTGGGTAATGCTAAATGAGTTACAATGATCGCTGTAATAATTTAATCAGTTTATTGTTTTTATGTTCTGAAACCATATATTTTTCCTCCACCTTCTTCTCCTGCCCTTGCAGAGGCTCTCCCTATAGAGAATCTCCTTTGGGTCATTTTGAAAGCTATGGAGGGACCCCCTTTTTCCAGGCTCAGAAGATGTTTGTGGATGTACCAGAAAATACAGTGATACTGGATGAGATGACCCTGCGGCACATGGTCCAGGATTGCACCGCTGTGAAAACTCAGTTACTCAAACTGAAACGTCTGCTGCATCAGGTGAGTGCAGAGCCAGCATTTTGAGTGCTGACATTTTGATTGCAAAGTGGATTGACTTGTCTTTGTTTTAAAAAATGGTCTTTCGGATTCTAATGTTTATTTAGGTTTCTGTCGAAACAATGCTTGTAAATAGTACATAATACAAACTTGTTGGAGGAAAAAAATGGGAATTTATACGTGTTGGTCTCACTACACAGTACCTAGCATGTATGAGATGCATGATACTCAGTAAGCCAGTCTGCCTCTGTTGCCTTTTTTTTATAGTGCCAATATTATCAGGTTGTTGAGGAAAATTAGAACTAGTAGTTGTAAATCGAGCAACGTAATACATGAGACATAGATGGCATTCAGTAATCAGTGAGTGCTATCATTTCAACTAGGTGGGAAATAAAGAGCAATTTCGATTTACATAATGATAACGTATAATTATTCTTTGAGGCCTTTAAGTTGAATCTTCCCCAGTCTTCTCCCTCCCTCCCTGTCTCTCTCTCTTTCAAGAAAAATCTAGACTGACATTGGTGATGTGACTTATCTGAAGTCACACGGTAAGTTCATAGTAGAACTTAGCTTCAGAGTGATGAGCACCTTTTTTGTTGAAGCGTTTAATGCTTAAAGATAAGGTCAGATGCATGGAAGAAAACCAAGTAATAAAGTATTAGTTTTAAATTGTGGCTACCCTTTTTGGTTGTATATCTGTATTTGTAGTTTGTGTGCTAGCTACATTTAGCTTCAAATTATGATTATGACAGACAGCCTGACTTCTCTCTGCTGGTCAGTTTTCTTTCTGAGTCACCTTCCTCAGGTTGTATGTTTTAGCTTCATGCAGGGACCTAGTTATAGAATTCCTGGTGGCTGCCAAAACAGAATTTCATACTATCTCTATGGTAAAGTCTAGATGAAGTATAAAAAATGGGTTTTGCATTAATAACTATGGTAAGTGTAAGTATTTTGGCCAAGTCATGTAAATTGGTTCATATTACTTGGATATGGGTTTTCTACACCGCTTCTCTCCATTCTTGTGGATATTGGACTACTTTTCTGGGCTAAGATGGGAACAAGAATGTAGAGTCACCTTTTCGGATCTGGGATACCTGGACTCCTCTGGTGACTGAAATATGGGGGGTGTAGAAGGCTATAATTAATATAACTGCAAACTTGGAGTCAGGATTTGGTCTCTAGTGTTTCTCTGCTGGTAGGTTTGGGGAAAATTTTTTCTGATTAGGAGCCAGCATCAAAGGAAGGGGGTAAGAAAGGGTGAGGAATAGTTAAAATATGTTGAATATCTATTGTGTGCCACTCATTGTGCTAGCTATGTCAGTAGCATCTTTTGTATCTGGGTGTTATGGCCCTGAGTCATGAGAAGCATGATTAAATATCATCTAATGAGATCAGAGCACCTGTCAAAATGAGAGAAGGAGCATAATTGAGGAGGAAACAGGTAAATCGGTAACCAATGATTAATTAGTAAATAAAAAATGGAAAAGTGCTTTTTGAGGTACTTTACATAAAGTTGTAGTTCTATTGATCCTTTTTTTTTCACTGTCATTATGAACTCTGAAAATTTAGGTAGTACACACTGACCCTAGTTTTGGTTTAAGCTGTAGGAGAAAGAAAGTGAAGGAAACTGTAGAATTGTTTCTAGAGCATCTTTAAAGTTTCCCAAATACTAACTGAATTTAAAAGCTGAATGAAGAATGAATCCAATATTTCATTCATTCATTTTAATTGTTTTCTTATTAATTTTACTAAATTAAAAAAATGAGTATGGCACATGTGCATATATGTAATATATATAATGAAATACATATATTTAAAAAAAATCATTATGCCATCGCAAGGGTTTACTGAAAGGTAGTCTCCCACTCACACACTAACACACCCACCACACATACACACCCAGGCCTCAGTCAACTTTTTGTAATCTGAGTAGGTTACTGGTAGGTTAATGTCCATCAAACAGCGACTTCCTTTTGCTTTAATTGGACTTGGACCCATTATTTCCTGTGAAGCATATTTTCTTTCTTTCTTATTTATTCCCTGAAGCATATCCTCAGTTTGGCTGAAGTGTATTTTTAATTTCCCAAGAGAAGCTGGGTGGATGGTATACTTTCTTAGTTATTGTATTATAGTAAATCTCTGTATTTTACTCTCATGTTACATATGATTAATAGTTTAGCTGAGGTAGAAGTGAAAAATTTCTCTTACAAATTTGAAGGTATTGCTTTCCTAAGATTCTTTTTACCTTTGGGAAGCCTATGACATTGTGTTCTAATTTACATTGTATTTTGCTGCTTTTCTCCATCTGGGATGTTTTTAATCTTTTATGTTTTGACATTCTGCAGTTTTACAGTGATGTCCTGAGATTTGAGATTTGATGGAGTTTTTGTTTTCCACTTGATGTTTGGTCAGTTAGTGGGCTTTTTGAAGAATCAAGAAGTGTGAAACTTTCTTAAGCTATTTCTGTTATTTTTTCCCCTCATTTTCCTATTCTTTCTGGAATAGGAACTGGAACTTCTGAACTGAATCTTCTTTTTTTTATAAAGATTTATTTATTTACTTGAAAGTAAAAGTTGCCGGCGCTGCAGCTCACTAGGCTAATCCTCTGCCTTGCGGCACCGGCACACCAGGTTCTAGTCCTGGTCGGGGTGCCGGATTCTGTCCCGGTTGCCCCTCTTCCAGGCCAGCTCTCTGCTGTGGCCAGGGAGTGTAGTGGAGGATGGCCCAAGTGCTTGGGCCCTGCACCTGCCATCGGATCAGCGTGGTGCTCCGGCCGCAGCGCGCCGGCCGCGGTGGCCATTGGAGGGTGAACCAATGGCAAAGGAAGACCTCTCTCTCTCTCTCTCTCTCTCTCTCACTGTCCACTCTGCCTGTCAAGAGAAAATAAAAAAAAAGAAAGAAAGAAAGTAAAAGTTACACAGAGAGAAGGAGAGCCGGAGAGAGAGAAATAGAGAGGTCTTCCATCTGCTGGTTCACTCCTCAGATGGCTGCAACTGCAGGAGCTTCGCCCATCCAAAGGCAGGAACCAGGAGTCTCTTCTCGGTCTCCCCCAAGGGTGCAGGGGCCCAAGGACTTGGGCCATGTTCTACTGCTTTCTCAGGCGGTAGCACAGAGCTGAATCGGAAGAGGAGCAACCGGGACTCGAACCGGTGCCCAAATGGGATGCTGACACTGCAGGCGGTGGCTTTACCCACTACGCCACAGAGCCTGCCCCTGAACTGAATCTCTTAACCTGTTACATTTTCTTTCATGTTTTTCTCTTTGGATTTGATTACAATTTCTGATACATTTTTTATACTTTATATTCCAGCTTTGTATTTTTTTAAATATTTATTTGAAAGCCAGAGTGAGAGTGAGAGAGGGAGAGAGAGAGAGTGAGAGTAAGAGAGAGAGACATCCTCTATTCACTGGTTCACTCCCCAGAGAGAGAGAGAAAGGGGGTGGGGAGAGTGACATCTTCTATTCACTGATTCACTCCCAAAATCCCCACAACAGCCACAACTGGGCCAGGCTGAAACTAGCAGCCAGGAACTCCTCCCAGGTCTCCCATGTCAGTGGCAGGGATCTAAGTACTTTAGCCATCATTTGGTACCTCCCAGATTATGCATTCACAGGAAGCTGGACAAGAAGTGTGAGTAGGACTCGAGCCCAGGCACATCGATATTGGATGTGGGCACTCCAAGTGGTAGCTTAACCTGGTGGACCACAGTGCCTGCCTCCCAGCTTCGTTTTTATTTAACTATTTTATTGTTTATTTTTTATATTATATTTATAATTTTTTTTAGCAATCATAGATTAAGTATTCAAGAACTCTTCATTGGGGCAGGCGTTGCAGTGCAGTGAGTTAAGCCACTGCTTGGGAAACCAGAGTACCTGTCTTGAGTACTGGCTACTCTGCTTCTAGTCCAGCTTCCTGCTAATGTGCCTAGGAAGCAGCAGATAATGATCCAAGGATTTAAGTTCCTGCCACTCACATGGGAGACCCAGATGGAATTCCTGGATTCTGGCTTCAGTCTCTGTTGTGAGCATTTGGGGAATGAACCAGTGGATGGAAGATCCATCTCTCTCACCCTCTCTTTCTTCTTTCTTTCTTTTTTTTTTTTTTAATTTATTTAAAAAAATTATTTGAAAGGGAGAGAGAGAGAGAGAGAGCACACGTGTGCGACCCTCTATCCATTGTTTCACTCCCCAAATGGCCACAATGGCCAGGCTGAAACAGGAGCTAGGAGCCTCTCTGGGTCTCTCACGTGGGTGCAGGGGCCTAAGGACTTGGGCCGTCCTCCACTGCTTTCCCAGGCGCATCAACAGGGAGCTGGATTGGAAGTGGAGCAGCTGGGACCGGAGCCAGCAGCCATATGGGATGCAGGCTCTGCAGGCCAGTGCTGTAACCCATTGCACCACAGTGCCAGCCCTGTCTCCTTTTCAAATAAATAAATCTTAAAGTGAATTTTTCATTATGTACCATTCCTAATTAATATTCAACTATTACTTTTTAAGCATGACACAGAGAGAGGGAGAGACTTTCCATCTGCTGATTTACTCCCTCAAATGCCTACAACAACTAGGGCTGGGCCAGACAGGAGCCAGGAACTCTATCTGGGTCTCCCATGTGGGTGGCAGGAGCCCAAGTACTTGAGCCATCATTTACTGCCTCCCAGGCACATTAACAGGAGGTTGGATCAGAATCAAGGTGAGACTTAATCCCAGGCATTCTGGTATGGGATGTGAGCACCCCAAGTTGTGATTTAAGCTACTCAATGTCCAACACTATCTTTCTTATTAAAGAATCATTTAGGTTTTTGTTCTTTGGTTTATCTTTATTTTGGAATCTCTTCAAATGTGTAATGATTCTTTGTTGTTGTCGTTGTTAAATAAATATTGTAAGTGCTAAAAAGATGATGGGGGTAGGTGAGATAACCATCTTGAAAGAAATGTGAGTAGGTATAAGGAAGGGGTATGGGTGAAGATTAGTAGTTAAGATGCTGTTTAGGACATCAGTATTC